AGGGATGTAGTAGTATAGACTCAATTGAAAAGTGGTTTATTCGGCCGTGAACTTTTGGACGTTCTCCAAGAACGTGACGTACTCCTTCTGCTCCTTGAGGTCAGCGTACTCCATGATAAAGTTGGCCAAGTCGTCGTTGATGTGGCGGTCGTTGAGGTAGTCGGCGAAGGCTTCCTGCACGTCGTTTTCGAGGTCGATGAAGCGCGGGCCATGGTACGCCGAGTTGTCGACTTCATCGGCGTTCTCCTCCAGGTGCATGACGCTGTCGATCGTCAAGATGGAGCTCGCGACGCAGTCAAAGATGAGCGCTTCGTTGTTCTTGACGATGCGCGCCGTGAAGCGGATGCTCGGCAAGACGTCGTCTTCCTCGTCGCCTTCGTAGTCGCCCTCGGCCTCCTCTTCCTCGTCCTCGTACTCGCCAGCCTCGGGCTCAGCCACGTCCTGCACGTTGAAGTTGATGTCGATGATCTCGTTGGCGGTCTTGCTCTTGAGCGTGATGCCCACGTTGCCCGGCGTATCAGTGATCTTGAAGTGCTTGAGCACCTTCTCGCGCAGCGTCTCGAGCTCTTCGCCGACAAAGCAGTTGGCCTTCTCCTCCGCGAGCTCGCGCGCGAGGAGCGACGAGAGGTCCGATGAGAAGGCGCGGACAGGCATGGCCGTGCGGAGGGCGCGGAGCGACGAGAGGCGAGAGAGCATGTTGATCGGTGGCGGATGCAAAATGAAAGGGTGGCTCCTGCGCGCTCCGCGCCTTCGAACTTCGAGACCCCACTTGGTGTTTGTTGGGAAAGCTTCGAAGATCGCCCTTTTCGAGAAAGTCCCAACGAAGTTCGAAGTGCAATGTGACCGCAGAATCGCTGAGCTTCGGCCTCCTGCGACGTCCGCGCCGCCAGCGTGATAGCCATGGGGGTCGCCATCACTGGCAACGATCGCGTGCACACCCTGCAGTGCTGCATGTGACTTGCGTAGGTAGAGGTCGAGAGCCTACTAGTAAATTTGGTTTACAGACAAGCCACACGCCAAGTCCAACCAAGCGGTTTGTCCTCTTCGTACTGCCGGATACACAACCATACACTACTAGTAGCGAGAGCGATTGTAGCTGGTCATGCGTATCTATCTATCTTTTAATTGAATAACGACTTTTTTGCGCGAAGCGCGGCACGAGCGCAGCGAGGGCACCCGGCGGTAGCCGGGCCCGTGCGATAGCACGGTAGGGCAAAATGAAGTCTCAACATGGTCTTCCGGCGTGCGCAGCGCGTTGGGAAGGGTCGGGAAGTGTCGAATTCGGTTAAGTACGAGTGGCAGGTCAATGTCGTCAAGACGTATCTTGATATCACTATTGGGTGGACAAAATCGCGGTTAAGTACGGAAACGCACCTTATAGGATTCACGCACCTTGGCCAACCCGCGCGCAGCGCGCCACGAGCGAAGCGAGTCGACCTGGCGTAGCCGGGTCCTGCGCGATAGCGCGAACCACGAGCGCAGCGAGTGCACCCGGCGATAGCCGGGGTCCGCGCGGTAGGGTAATATGCCATGCACGAGCGTAGAGAGTGCATGTGCCATCGATGCGCGCAGCGCCAATCCCGAGTGTAGCGTGTGCACTTGCGATAGTGCACGGCAGCGTGGTAGGATAATGTGCGCGATAGCGCAATGTACGAGCGTAGCGAGTGCATTTGGTATCGATGGGTCCTGCGCGATAGTGCGGGACCTTGAAGCTTTGTTGCATTGTGTTAGGTCAAAGTATTAGGTCACTCTGTTAGGATCGCATCTGTGTTACGTTTGGTTTGCAGGTTTTTATTGCGCGCCACGCACGGAGCAGAAGATCAGGTCATAGTGGGGACGCCAGCTTCTGGGGCCGAGCGCAAGCGCGAGCAGCAGATGCGTCAAGCTGCATGCGCCCTGGCGACATCTACTCTGACCGAGGAGGCCAAGGAGCTCAAGCAGAAGATCACCGCGAGGCAGAGGTGACGGCAGCGAAGCAAGGCGTCGATGGCAACCGCCATTGCGCCTCCTGGCGAAGCGTACGCGTCCAGCGGCGCCTGCCACAGTGGAAGTGCTGGGCCCTCTCAATCCGAGTAGCGATTCTTTAAACCACCTCATGAACGTTATACAACCTGCAATGTTGATCATTCCGCGATGCTGCAGCAAGCTGTTGTGCGTGAAGCGTCCTGCTATGCAGTATTGGACCCAAGTGCCGAAACGATGCGAAGGTTGAAGCGGCTAAGAAAGAGCTCTTCCCGGCGATGGCTCTAACAATAACAATCTACATCTAAGCGAGATTGGGACGATGCACCACCCTCACCGCACAATGGAAAATGAATTTGACGTTGTTCCACTGGAGCCCTACAAAGAATCCACCAGGTGCACCGTAGCACAGCGGAGGTTGCACCGCAGTGTCGTTTCCGGCTGAAGGCCGGTAGCGGCCCGCTGGGCACTGCAACGAAGCGTAGGTCGCGTCCGTCGCACGCGTCCGTCACACATTCGCC